GGTAGGGGGTGGGGGGGGCGGGGGGGGGGGAGGAAGGCAGGGGTCAGCAGGTCCAGGGTGAGGAGGGCTATGGAGAATCTTCAGTGGTGGGGGGGAGAGATATTAAGGAGGCTGGTGTGTTTGGAAAGGAAGGGAGGAAGGGGCAGGAAGGGGCAGAAGGGGGCGGCAGGTGCGGCGCGGGCTGCTGAGGGCTCCCACTCAGACTCACCTTCTCGTAGTACCGGATCTCATACTCGGTGCCATTAGCCCCAGGGGTTCCAGCAGGGACCGGCTCCCGCCACGACAGGGACACACTCTGGGGTTCCACTCGGTCCCTGCGGATCTCATCCTCCTCCCAGGGCGCTGGAAGTTAAGCAAAGTGGGGTTCACCTCCTGCCCAGGGGTCTGGGAACTGCGCATCTGGACTGCGGGAACTAGGCATGGGGTGGGGTGGGGTCTGCGGGATGGGCGGGGCCTAGGCATGGGGCGGGGCGGGGCTAAGGCATCAGGGTGTGAGACCTACAGGGCCAGCTAGAGGCTTCCTGCTGCCTGCTACTCTACATTCAAGCATCCCTAATGGTTCTAATCCCCCAGGCTCTTTTCTGCAGTTTCTATGGCTTGGAGACCTAAGAGAACATTTAGAAGCATGGAAACCAGCTACATAACTATTCCCATAATCTAGTCATTAGAACAATAAACACATGGAACAAACTAGAACTGGAGGGAAATTTTCCCAACGAGATAAAGGGCATTCATGGTAAGTCATACTGAAGGTCATACCCAATAGTGAAAGTCTAGAACCTTTCCATCTAAGATCAGGAAAAAGTCAAGGCTGCCCGCCCTAATCTATGCACCACAAGACTTGAAGTTCTAGCCAGGGCAACTAGGCAAGGAAAAGAATGAACAGTGTCCAAACTGGAAAGTAGAAGCCCCAGATGGCACTATCTTTTATGCAGAAAAGCCCAAAGAGTTCACAAAAGATTTTCTTTTTGGTTGTTGTTTCTTTATTTTTATTTTTTATATTTTTTTCTTTATCTTTTTTAATACTTTCAAAACTGATAAATGCAGCAAAGTTAGAGGACATAAAATCAATATTTAAAAAATAAATTCCATGTTTATATACTAACAACAAACAATTAAAAAGGGAAATTAAGCTAGGAGTGTAGCTCCGTAGCTCCTACCACACACAAAGCCCTGAGTTTGATCCTCAGCATCCCTCCACCACCCCACACACAGGTAAACCTTATTTACAATAATGGGCGATGCTAGAAGTGAAACTATGGCTCAGGTGGTAGAGTACCAGCCTTGGGTGAAACAGCTAAGGGACAGGCCCTGAGTTCAAGCCCAAGACTGACACAAATAAATAAACAAATTTTAATTAAATAAACAGAAGTTTGGAGCCAGCCTGGGCTACATAGTGAGACTCTGCCTGTGACTGACTTTTTTTTTTAAGGACCAGGAATACACCTCAGTGGGTAGAGCATTTGTCTAACATGTATGAGGCCCTGGGTTCCAGCCCTAGCACAAAAAAATACCAAGGGTTGGGAAGGTGGCTCAGTGGTAGAGTGCTTGCTTCACATGCATGAGGCCCTCGGTTTGATTCCTCAGCATCACGTAAACAGAAAAAGCCGGAAGTGGAGCTGTGGCTCAAGTGGTAGAGTGCTAGCCTTGAGCTGAAGAGCTCAGGGACAGTGCCCAGGCCCAGAGTTCAAGCCCCACAACACACACACACACACACACACACACACACACACGCCAATGTGTGGCATCCCTGGGAGGAGAACTCAGGTTCTCACCTGTGTGTGTTGAGTCAGGTTATTTCCAAGAACAGGTATTGGAAAGAAGCTCAGGTTCAGAGAAGCTGTCTGGAATAGGAGGTAGGGGTGGAAATTCAGGCCATTGAGATGACTGGATAAAACCATCAGGGAAAATATATACAGAAAAATAAGCCACAGGAAATAAAGCATTTAAGAGATAGCCAAAGGAGCCTGAAAAGGAAGAGCCAGAGCAGCAGAAGGAAAATGGCAGGGGGCAAGCAAAGCCATAGAAATCTAGTGAACAGAATGATGAAGAAAATCCCCATACTAGGGATATGGCTCAACTATAGAGCACTTTCCTAGCATGCCTGTGAGATCCTGGGTTCAATCCGCAACACAGTAGGTCCTTCCTGTGTCCATTGATGATCTCACTGTCTAAGCCTTAGATTTCTCACATGTAAAATGCTAGACCTGAGGTGAGAATTTCCAAAGTTCTACTCATTAAGGACTTACACAACCCCTGACCCAGGGCAAGTACTCAGTGCAGTTCCACAGAGGAAAGGAACTCATGGCCAGCAGCTCCATGTACAGAGAACAGGCAGAATAAGATGATCCAGAATTTTTGCCTGCCTTCACATCCGGGAGCTCCTGGACTTCAGGGGTTGGGGGAGTAGATGTCACATAGCAGTGCAGTAGCAAGTAGGAACAAAAGCATCATGGCTCCCACTTTGGCAATGGCTAGAATGTAGCTTTCTGTCTTTAACAGTATCAGCCTAGCAGCCCCCACCTCCAGACTTCTCCAAACTCAATGAAGATTTGAGGATTCAGAGAGAGTGGAAATTCCACAGCAGCATTCCAATGCAGTCAGATGCCTGATTGCCACAGTGGGGGCAGGGAGTAGAGTGGTATATTTTTACCTAAGATAAAGCTCCTGGGACTGGATTGGAAGGTGTAATTGTGGTAAAGCCCAGCCTGTGCTGCCCACAGAGTGGCATTGCTTCCCATTCTAAAAATAACTTGAGAATACTTTTTTCCTCCCGCAGTACTTGACCTTGTGTCAGAGAGAGAGAGAGAGAGGGAGAGAGAGAGAGAGAGAGAGGTCTTTGTTACCTCGACAATGGCCAGCTCCTAAGAGTGCCTCTTGGAAGGAATTCATCAGAAAGATCTGGCACAAAGACAGGAGTGATGAGGCCTCCTAGGAGGTGGCTCTGTCCTTTGTAGATACGGGTAGGGGCCTGTCTTTCTCTGTCTCACAGGGAAAGGCCATTCAGTGCCTTAGAGGGCTAGATATAGAGGTAGGAAGTGTTTCCATTTCAGCTTCTCAGAGATATTGCTAGATTTAAAAAATTTTAAGAATGGTAAAGGGGGTCACAAAAATGGAGGGACATAGGGTGAACAAATGTAGCAGTGGTATTCAGTAGAAACTATGTTAAAAATGAACTACATCCAGGTGCCAGGGGCTTACACCTGTAATCCTAGCTACTCAGCAGGCTGAGATCTGAGAATTGCAAGTTCAAAGCCTGCCCAGGCAGGAAAATCTATGAGACTATCATCTCCAATAAACTCCTCAAGAAAAAGGCAGAAGTGGTGGTAGAACACTAGCTTTGAGCCCAGAAAGGCTCAGAGACAGTGCCCAGGCCTTGAGTTCAAGCCCCAGGACCATCCAAAAACTGAAAGAAAGAGGGGGGGGGAAGAACGAAAGAAAGGAAGGAAGGGGGAAAGAAAGAGAAAGAAAGAAAGAAAGAAAGAAAGAAAGAAAGAGGGGCTGGGAAGGTGGCTCAGTGGTAGAGCGCTTGCCTTGCATGCCTGAGGCCCTGGGTTCGATTCCTCAGCACCACATAAGCAGAAAAAAGCAAGCAAGAAAGAAAAAAGAGAGCTATACAACTTCTAGGTGGGAACAGGAGGGAAAAAAACTGCAAGAAAACAAAGGAAGGGGTGACACTGCCCAAAAGGAAATGTACCCATTGCTTAATTTATGAAACAGTAACCTCTCTTTATACCACCTTTATAATGACAATTTTTTTAAATCCTAAGAGGGGGCTGGGAAGGTGGCTCAGTGGCAGAGTGCTTGCCTTGCATGCATGAGGCCCTGGGTTCGATTCCTCAGCACCACATAAGCACAAAAAGCCGAAAGTGGTGCTGTGGCTCAAGTGGTAGAGTGCTAGCCTTGAGCTGAAGAGCTGAGGGACAGCACCCAGGCCCAGCATTCAGGCCACGACCACCACCACCAACAACAACAAAGTTCTAAGAATGGAAAATAAAGATGGATGCTGGTGGTATCTGTCTATAATCCTAGCTTCTCAGGAAGTTGAGACCTGAGGATAAAAAACAGCCTAGGCAGACAAATCTGAGAGACTATTATCTCTAATTAACTAGCAAAAGGCAGAAGTGGAAGTGTGGCTCAGGTAACAGAGCAGCAGCATTGAGTGCAAAAAGTTAAACATGAGTACGAGGCCCTGAGTTCAAGCCCCACTACCAGCACATCACATCACCACCAACACTACCACCACCATCACGATCAAAGAATGGAAAGGGAGTGCTGATAATAAAACTAAATTTGGAGTCCAGGCCCCTATTGTCCACCTGTAGGTTTGTGATAAAATTCGACTGGTGCCCAGGTAGGCCAAAAGTTCAGTAACCACCAAGGAAAACCTATCTACAGCCAACCAGTCCCTTTCCCTGCTGAGAGAGCCATTTGTGATTCAGGGTCCACAGTCTTCCCAGATCTCCCAGAGATTCTCTGTTCTAAGACATCTGGTTTAGGGTTGGGTTGGCAATCCAGTTCCAGCCAACAAAAGAACTCAGCTAAGGGGAAAAAGAATTCTGAGAAAGGTCTGTTGCTTTTTAAAAGCCTGCATGGAAGAAAGCATTCTTTTTATGCTTCTGGATGGTAAGGATATGAGATCTGGAGTTGCCACAGCCAACTTGCCATCGTTAAGAGGTAGCCTACGTGTAATGGATGGGAGAGCAGAAAGACAGAAAGAACCTATGTCCTGGGAAACACTGTTGACCTGCTGAATTAACCAAGCTCTAACTGGAGTCTTCTTAAGAAATCATTTTGGGTTTCATTGGAATCTCAGCTAGTTAGATTGAGATTTATTGTTATCTATAAGCAAAAGCCTCACAACCAACACGAGGAAATCATGCTTATTATTATTGTCATTGTTATCCCCAGAAGCCTCTTCCCTCATAGTTTAACATGCTCTTTCCTTAGGCAACACTAGGCCTATATAGTAAAGGCAGCAAAAGATTAGCCCCTCCCCACTTTCCCTGAGAGAGAACCCTTTGGGATACCTATGACCATATAAGGCATCAAGATTCCCCAAATCTATGAGGTTATAAAGGTCACTTGAAACAATAGCCAGCAATTCTCACTTCCTCTCCCTTGTGAGAAGGGATCTGGCCAGCCCCTTTACTGTAAATAAACCTTTTCTTTGTTCTTTGTACCTGGATGTCCACAGTGGTTTCTGGTGAAGTCTAATTTAATCTAACAATCATCATCATCATTAGTTATTAATAACCAATGCATGTCATCAGCTATCTCCTGGTCAAGGAGATATATAAATGGAAAACATCAACAAATTGGGCAGAAAACAAATGTCAGAA